AGATAGGACAGTGGTCGGCAAACTGCGGCTCGGTGAGCACATGTTGCTCTTTGGCCCCTTGAGTGTGCTCTTCCACAAAATACCGACTTCTGTGCATGGGCTATGAAGTTTCAATAGCACTGTACGTGTGCGCCCGCACGTGGTATTTTGTGGGAGAGCCACACTCAAGGGGCCAAAGAGCCGCATGTGGCTTGCGAGCCGCAGTTTGCCGACCACTGCGATAGGAGATTTGGGGAAGAAGCTGAGTCAAGCTTCAAATGTTTCATAAGGGCTGAGAAGCAGAAGAGGGTGCCAGGGGCTGATGTAATCCAGGTGGGCTTCCTGGAAGAAAGATTAGCAGTTGCTACTCCATCATGCTTGATTTCTCAACAGTTGTCATTTCTCTCAAATATCTCCCCTCTTCCACTTTGTGGCTGTTTTTCTATTTTAAAAAATATCAATAGCCAGCCTATCTGCCAAAAAATTATTGGCTGTTAAGAGAATTAAAAGACAAGTCACAGACTGGGATAAAATATTTGCAAAACACATCTGATGATGAACTTGGATCCAAAATATACAAAAAAAACTCTTCAAACTCAACCATAAGATAACAAATAATCCAATTAAAAATGGACAAAAGTGATGAACAGATGTCTCACCAAAGAAGATATACAGAAGCATATGAAAAGTTGCTCAACATCAGATGTTATCAGGAATTGCAGATTAAGACAATGGGATACATCTATTAAAATGTCTAAAATCTAGTCCTAGCTGGTTTGGCTCAGTGGATAGAGCATTGGCCTGTGGACTGAAGGGTCCCGAGTTCGATTCTGGTCAAGGACACATGCCTGGGTTGTGGACTCGATCCTCAGTAGGGGGTGTGCAGGAGCAGCCAATCAATGATTCTCTCTCATCATTGATGTTTCTATCTCTCTCTCCCTCTCCCTTCCTTTCTAAAATCAATAAAAATATATGTAAAAAAGTCTAAAATCCAAAACAACAACACTAAATGCTGTGAGGATGTGGAACAACAGAACTCTCAATTCCCAATGGAAATGCCAAATGATACAGCCACTTTGGAAGACAACCTGAATAGATGATATACTGTGTGATTACAATTATGTGACATTTTGGAAAAGGCAAAACTATAGAGATCAGTAAAAAGATCAGTGGTTGCAAGGGGAATCATGGGATGGGGGTAGAGATGAAGAGATGAAGCACAGCATTTTTAAATGGGTAAAAGTAATTTGTTTGATATTGTAATGGTGGATACATTTGTAAAAAGCCTTAGTACAACACAGAGTGAGCTCTAATGTAAGGTATCAGTTTAATTAGTAGTAATGTTTCACTATTGGTCATCAATTGTAACAAAGGTATATTCCTGCAAGATAGGGGAAAATGTGTGTAGAGGGAGAGGAGGTATATGGGGACTTTACTTTTTGTGGAATTTTCTATAAGCATAAAACTGTTCACACACAAAAAATGTCTATTAAAAAAGTATTGGCTGGCCGAAACCGGTTTAGCTCAGTGGATAGAGCATCGGCCTGCGGACTGAAGGTCCCGGGTTCGATTCCGGTCAAGGGCATGTACCTGGGTTGTGGGCACATCCCCAGTGGAAGATGTGCAGGAGGCAGCTGATCGATGTTTCTCTCTCATCGATGTTTCTAACTCTCTATCTCTCTCCCTTCCTCTCTGTAAAAAATCAATAAAATATATTTTTAAAAAAAGTATTGGCTGAAAGATGGACTATTGTTTAATGATGGACTATTGTTTAAATATAACCATAACCTAATGACAACTGATCAGATGCACCTTGATTCAAGTTACATAATTATATATAAACTGATGGCCTGGTGCACAAAATCGTGCACATTAAAAAGGAATTAGTTAGAGGAAATATTTTAATATTGCTATTTGCCCTTTCTCTATAATAGAACTGTCAGAGATGAAAGAAAATTAGTAAAATGTATATGAAAATCTCCCTCCTGTCAGAGTCTGGGGTGCGCCATGGGACCCAGAGTCAAGTCCCTGCCCACCCGCACAGGCCTTGAAATTGCGCAAGACCCAGACCTGGGTGGCCCTACCCCCAGGTCAGCCCTGCAGGGCAGGGGTGCAGCCTCAGGTCCCCTGTCAAGCCCTGCCTGCCGGGGGGAATGGCCTCAGGTCCCCTGGCCCAGCCTCAGGTCCCCCGGCAAGGGCGTGAGGGCGCAAGGGCTCGAGGGAGTGACAACCATTTGCATGTTAGCTCTTTATTATATTTGGAGGAAAAGTTAAAGCCAAATAAGAGGTATTAGTGGTCCCCCATCCCCTAACTCTAAAAAAAAAAGCCCCCAGGGGTTATTAGATACATCCTGTAAGATACCTAAGAGAGAGCAGAGCTGGTCATGTGACCGTCTCCCCAGCAACCACTTACCATATCACCACTCTCCTCCAGTCTCTATGTGGTGGCTTTGTAATGTGTCAGCTTGACTAGGCTGAATGAACTATATCCTGGAATTACCTTCTCTGTATGTGTCCATTAGGATGGGCTAAAAGATTCTTGGGCCAGATTTGGAGGTCAGAATAAAGTAGCTTCTATTTTGTAGATCACACAGGGTGTGATCTACGAACTGTGTGATCTATATTTTTGCATAGGGCAGCAGCCAGGCCAGCAATTATTCCACCTTCTCCTGGTTCTTCCTTCAACTTCAACTCCTTGGCTAGGTGTGTGTTTAGCTCCATGATGAAGGATGCCAGCTTCTACTGTAGATGCTCATACCACCAAGGGTAGAGGCAAGTTTGTTCCAGTGTGTCCTAGCTTTCCCCCACTTTACATCTGTCTTCTCTTCCTAACTGCCTGCCCTGTGCACTTCGAGTGTGAGTATTAGACACCAAGACAATCTTAGGGACTGCTTAACAACTCCACTAATTGCACAAGGTTAAACCCCTGATATCTTTATCTACTCTATCTATCTATCTACTAGTATCTATCTATCTATCTATCTATCTATCTATCTATCTATCTACCTACCTATCATCTATCACCTATCTGTCATCTAATATATCTCTTCTAGTGATACAGCCTTTCTGATTGAAACCTAATACATTCTGTAAGCAGAGACTCTTTATGTCCTAGAAATCATTGTTACATCAATCTGTTGTTGGACAAGTTGCAGTGGCTTTCCTTCTCTCCTCTGTGAGAGGAGGGGTCTTCTCCATCCCCAAAGAGTCTGATGCAAAAAGGTGAGATTGACATTTTACTCACAGGACAAAAAACATAAGTCATGTTTTTACCCCATTGTATTCAGTTTGTTCAGTATACTTTGCAAAATGATTTTTGTCTCCAAACTGAGGAGATGCTCAAGGTCAGCATCCCTAGCATTACAGGGGCTTGTTAGAAATGCAGAATCCCTTTCCCCTTAACCCCTGGATTTACTGAATCAAAACCTGAATTTTGACTAAATCTGTCAGTGATTTGTTACATATTGAAGTTTAAGAAGTGCAGTCTATAGAACACTACTTTTGGGGGATGAAACCTTTTTAAAAAAATTACCATTAATTGTCGAAGTGGATTCTTACTGGATCCACTTGCTTCTTGGATATACAGTTTTAAAATATGTGATCAATATCTGGCACATCTTAGACCAGTGGTCAGCAAAGTCATTAGTCAACAGAGCCAAATATCAACAGTACTTCTTCAAAATAGACTCGCCCAGGCCGAAAACTGACTTCTGCGCATGGGCCAAAGTTTCAATCACACTGTAGGTGCGCGCCCGCACGTGGTATTTTGTGGAAGAGCCACACTCAAGGGGCCAAAGAGCCACATGTGGCTTGCGAGCCGCAGTTTGCCGGCCGCTATCTTAGACCATCCTGTCTTAATTTCCTCATGGCTATTGACATTTTTATGACCATGTCAACTGACATTAACTGAGCCAACTAAGAGACCCAGAAGGTATGGCCTGGAAGATGAAGAGCTGGAAAGATTTGGTAGAAGCCACTAAGAACTACTACACACCCCAAACAACAATTCTGGCCCAGCTGGTGTGGCTCAGTGATTGAGCGCTGACCTATGAACCAGGAGGTCAGGTTTCGATTCCTGGTCAGGGCATATGCCTGGGTTGCAGGCTCTATCCCCAATGTGGGGCATGCAGGAGGCAGCGGATCAGTGATTCTCTCATCATTGATGTTTCTATCTCTCTCTCCCTCTCCCGTCCTCTCTGAAATCAATAAAAATATATATTAAAAAAACAAAACAATGATTCTGCATCATCAAGTGTACCCACACATATTGTGTAAAAGTGCAAAATACACCGAGGAGTGATTCACGGCAACCTGAGTTCAGTGGTTTCTCCAGGGATGGAGGGAGGAAGAAGGGAACAGAGAAGAGGGGCCAGCAGCTTAATCTGTATCAATAATGTTTTATTTCTAAAAGGAAGAGGTCTGATACAAACATAGGGACATGTTTACATCTATCAAATCTGGATGTTACCTGGGGGTCTGTTAGACTCTGTACCATCTGTAGATTTGAAAGCTTTTTTAAAAAACAGGCTTAACTTACTTTATTTTTCTTGTATAAAATTATGTGGTGGCCACAGCTGGAGCCTGAGTCCTCTGCACAGAAACTCTGGTGTGAGTCTTTACAAGAGGGTCAGTGAATTCCTGATCGGGAGGCTTTGGTGAACACGGTCTCTTTTCAGAAGTCTGGGGTGAGATAGCTGTAGGTCTTAGAGACAGCAGCAAAGGTGGTCTTGGTGAAGTTGCCCAGGGTGGCAGTGCAGCCCCTGGCCGAGGTACAGCAGTCGTCAATACCAGCCATCAGCAGCAGCTTCTTGGGCACAGGGGCTGAGATGATGCCAGTAATTCTGGGGCAGAGATGAGGCACACCAGCACAGAGCTACATCAGCTAGTCTTCTTGTAAGGGATGGTGTGGGGCTTGCTAATCTTGTTCCTTCAGTAGCCTCACTGCACAGGGACACTAGAGAGCTTGATCAGGATGACGACTCCACGGATAGCAGTGGCTACTTCCTTGGAGCACTGGAACCGGGTCCTCTGGCCAGCGCATCTGCTTTTGCATGGGCATATTTTTCAAAACCTCATCCTTGAGAGATGTCCCCAGAAAAAAGTCAATGATCTCAGATTCTTTGATGGGCAGAGAGAAGAGACAGATATTCTCCAGGGATTTGATCTTCATGTTCTTAACCAGGTGGCCCAGCGTGGTGACAGGGACCCACTCCTTGTCCTCGTTCATGCCTCCGCTAGTTACACAGCCTCAGCCCGGTCCTGACCCCCTCCATGACTTTGGCCCTGGATGCTGCTGCCAAATCCTCCATGGAAGCTGCTGCAGCCTCCCATTCCAAGGCCCCTGGAATTCCAGGCCTTCCTATAGCACTGGTGTCATCTGCATTTGGTGTTTCCTTGGAGAAGAAGCAGATTTGAAACCTTATCTAAATAAATTTAAAAATTTAGTTTTTTACTTTGTTAACAGTATTACAGATACCTCTCATTACCCGCCTCCTACTCTTTGCTCCACTCCACCCAAAGCCTGCCTGCCCTACATCCCACTATTGTCTGTGTCCATGGGCTATGCATACTAGTATGTATTCTTTGATTAATCTCTTCCCATTCCCCACCACACCCTTCCCCTCTGAGATCTGTCATCTTGTACCATTTATTCATATTTCTGGATGTATTTTTTTTTCTGGACGTATTTTGATCATCAGCTTATTTTGTTAATTAGATTCCACATATAAGTGAGATCATGTGATATTTGTCTTTCTCTGACTGGCTTTTTTCGCTTAGCATAATAATTTCTAAGTCCATCCATACTGTCTCAAAGGGTAAGAGAGCCTTCTTTTTTATAGCCACAAGGAATTCCATGGTGAAAATGTACCACAGCTTTTTTTTATCCACTCATCTACTAATGGACACTTGGGCTCTTTCCAGATCTTAGCCACTGTAAATTGCGCTGCTATGAACATAGGGGTGCATATATTCTTTCTAATTGGTGTTTTGGGATTCATAGGATATATTCCTAGAGGTGGGATCACAGAGTCAAATGGCAGCTCCATTTTTAATTTTTTTTAAAGTTACTTGTTTTATTTATTTATTTATTATTGATTTCAGAGAGGAAGGGAGAAGGAGAGACAGAAACATCAATGATGAGAGACAGTCACCGATTAGCTGCCTCCTGCATGCCCCCTACTGGGGATCGAGCCTGCAACCCGGGCATGCGTCCTTGACTGGAATAGAACCCGCACCCTTTAGGCCGCAGGCCAACTCTCTATCCACTGAGCCAAACCAGCTTGTGCCATTTTTAATTTTTTGAGGAAACTCCACAGTGGCTGCACCAATCAGCATTCCCACCAGCAGTGCTAGAGGGTCCCCATTTCTCCATATCCTCACCAGCACTTGTTTGTTGATTTCTTGATAGTAGCCATTCTGACAGGTGTGAGGTGATACCTCATTGTATTTTTAATTTGCATCTCTCTGATGATTAGTGACGCTGAGCATTTTTTCATGTTTATTGGCTATCTGTATGCCCTCTTTGAAGAAGTGTCTATTCAGGTCCTTTGCCCATTTTTAAATTGGATTGTTTGTCTTCCTTTTGTTGAGTTGTAGGGGTTCTTTCTATATTTTGGAAATTAACCCCTTATTAACAGTTTGTTGGTTTCTTTTCATGTGCAGAAGCTCTTTAGTTTGATGTAGTCCCATTGTTTATTTTTCCTTTGTTTCTCATGCTTCAGTAGATGTATTGTCAAAAACACTGCTATGTGAGATGTCTGAGATTTTACTGCTTATGTTTTCTTCTAGGGCAGTGGTTCTCAACCTTCCTAATGCCGCGACCCTTTAATACAGTTCCTCATGTTGTGGTGACCCCCAATTTCATTATTACAAATTGAACATAATTAAAGCATAGTGATTAATCACAAAGACAATATGTAATTATATATGTGTTTTCCGATGGTCTTAGGCAACTCCTGTGAAAGGGTCGTCTGACCCCCAAAGGGGTCGCGACCCACAGGTTGAGAACCACTGTTCTAGGGTTTTTATGGTTTCACGACTTACATTTAACTCATGGAGTATGATGGTGGCTGTAGGTTTGTCATATATGGTATGGCCTTTATTCTGTTGAGGTATGATCCCTCTATTCCCACTTTTCTGAGAGTTTTTTTTTATCATAAATGGGTGCTGGATTTTGTCAAATGATTTTTTTTGGCCTTTATTGATAGGAACGTGTGATTTTTATCCTTAGTTTTATTTATGTGATGTGTCACAATACAGTAATTGATTTGCAAATATTGCACCAGCCTTGCATCCATGGAATAAATCCCACTTCATCAAGGTGTATGATATGATCTTTTTAATGTATTGCTGGACCTGATTTCCTAATATTTTGTTGAGAATTTTATCATCTTTGTTCATCAGGGATATTGGCCTGTAATTTTCTTTCTTTCTAGTATCTTTATCTGTTTTTGGAATTAGGATAATCCTGGCCTTGTAAAAAGAGCTTGGAAGTCTTCCCTCCTCTTGAATTTTTTGAAATACTTTGAGGAGGATAGGTGTTAGTTCTTTGAATATTTGGCAAAATTTGCCTGTAAAACCATCCAGTCCAGGACTTTTGCTTGCTGGGAGTTTTTTTGATTACTGCTTCAATTTCATTAGTTGTTATTGGTCTATTCAGGTTTTCTGATTCTTCCTAATTGAGTTTTAGAAGATTGTATGTGTGGGAGCCCTAATCAAACTATGCCAAATGTTCAAGGCCAATTGGAATGTGGGGGCCCTGTTCAGAGTATGCCGGATGTCCAAGGTTAATATGAGCAAGGACACAGTGATTGTATTGTATATGAAAGGTTTGGAGTTGGGCTGGGGTTGCACAGAACTGACTCAAGGCTCAGTGTAGTAAAAAAGATAGTTATTTAAGGCACCTGGGTGCAGGTGGGCTGAGTCCGGGAAAGGAGTCAATGCTGAATGGGAAGGGAGCAGGCTTTTTATGTGCGTAGGGAGAGCTGCAGATGGCTTAGGCTTGACACACATATCAGAACCATGCCCCTGGTCGTAGTTTTACGGTCTTGCCCTTTGTCCTTCTGCTGGCTCCAGACTACTTCCTCCTGGAAGCTGTTTAGGGTTATGGTCTTCAGGAATTTCTATGAAATAACCACTCAAGGGGAGCATGTTTGTGCAAGGCTTAGGCTTGCAGAACAAGCTTTCTTTTGTTAGCCCTGCTGAATTAGAGCCCTGTTTCTTGATTAACCCTTTCAGTATACACTGCGCTGGCGTACTTTTCTATAACCCAAATACTGATGTCACTATTTGGCAAGAAGCCTCTTTTGTCTAAACTGGCATAAAGATGTGTTGTTGACCAGCCAGTGTGTGGCTGCTTAGTATAGCTCATGTGTTTGCAACTGTATTAGTAAGGGCTGCCTTGTATGGCTACTTTGTGAAGCTACTTTGAAGAAATGTTTTGTCTGATGGCCTTAGTAATGGCTACTTGGTCAGCAATAATGACTCTTCTATATGCCTACAACTGCTCATATCTTCTCAGTCCAATACCCGGCATCCGTGAAGGTCCAGTTCCTAGCAGAGAAGGACCTGTGCTCCCACAGTATGTTTCTAGAATTTTGTCCATTTTGCCCACGTTGTTCAGCTTATTGGCTTATAGTTGTTCATCATATTATTATTATTATTTTTTTTACAATTCTTTGTATTTCTGTGATCTCAGATATTACTTTGTCTCTTTCTTTTCTGATTTTATTTATTTGGGCTCTTTTTCTTTGATTCTTTAAAAGAAATCTTTATTGTTGAAAGTATTACATATGTCCCCCTTTTCCCACCATTGACCCCTCCCTGGCCCAGGCCTTCATCACCCTGTTGTCTGTGTCCATGGGTTATGCATATATGCATAGAAGTTGTTTGGTTGATCATCTCCCACCCTCCCACCCTCCCCTGCCTTCCGTCTGAGTTTCTGCACTCTGTTCCATGCTTCCATGTCTCTGGATCCACTCCATTCATCAGTGTATTTTGTTACTTAGATTTCACATATGAGTGAGATCATGTGATACTTGTCTTTCTCTGACTGGCTTATTGCACCATGATACTCTCCACGTCCCTCCATGCTGTCTCAAGGGGTAAGAGAGTCTTCTTTTTTACTGCTGTATAGTATTCCATGGTATATTCCAGAGCTTTTTTATCCACTCATCTACTGATGGGCACTGGGCTCTTTCCAGATCTTAGCTATTGCAAATTGAGCTGCTATGAACATAGGGTTGCATACATTCTTTCTGGTTGGTGTTTTGGGATTCTTGGGATATATTTGTAGAAGTGGGATCACTGGGTCAAATGACAGTTCCATATTTAAATTTAAAAAATATTTTTATTGATTTCAGAGAGGAAGGGAGAGGGAGGGAGAGACAGAAACATCAATGATGAGAGAGAATCATTAATCAGCTGCCTCCTGCATGCCCCACACTGAAAATCAAGGCCACAACACAGGCATGTGCCCTGACCAGGAATCAAACCATGACTTCTTGGTTCATAGGTCGACACTCAATGCTGGCTGGGCCATATTTATGGTGAGCCTTGAGGATTGGGGTTTGGGCCCTGGTGGAGCCACCACAGGTACAGATCTTGGTGAAGAATTTGCCTAACCCTGCAGATATTCCAGGCAGGCCTGAGGGCAGCTGGATGGCTTGGCTTCTCTGCCCTGAGGAGCACATTGAGACTCAATCATGAAATTCCAGCAAAGGAGGTCAATTGCTAATCTTGTTGTGTTTTGCAAATGAAACTAGACTTAATGCAATAGATAAATTGATCTTAATTTGATTCTTTAATAAAAATAAGGGTGATTTTAGGGAGAACAATTATATTTCAATAGGGAATTATTAGAATTGAAATGTTTGTTGTTTTGTTTTTTGTATGTTTTGTTCCTTCCACCGGACTGTTTGTCGTAATTCTTGCTGTTCTAACTTTTGAAATTTTATAACAGTTTGTCTCCATCAGGTTACAAGCCCCTACTTGTACTCAGGGGTTATCACCTCTAGACATCTCCTTCCATGCCCAGGCATTGTCCCTCCGACAGAGAGCAAGATCTCTTGGCTCTGAAAGAGAATCTCCGCCTCCTCCTCAGCATGGAAGTAGCTTCAGAAGTGATGTGACAACCCTTCCCCCTAAAAGAATTCAGAGCCAAGCTCCTTGAGGGGATGTGCTAGGCAGTTAGACAGACATGAGCAGAGCAAGGACGATGGACCAACTGGAGGAGAAATGGATGGGACCCTGAGATGTGCTTCTCACCACTCCAACTGCTTTGAAGCTGGTAATGGAGGAACCTATGTAGATTCTCTCTCCCTCTTCCTTCTTCTAAGAAAGCCAACAGGTTTTAGAACAGCTAATGAAGATAGGATCAATTAGTGTAAAAAGAAGAGGTGGGAATTTGTAGGAAATGGATCTCTGTGATCCATCTCCAGCATGGTTGGCTTTTGATGGAATTTACTGAATTTCCCCAGGGCAAACAGAATGTAGGGAGGAGGGAAGAGAAACGAAGAACTGTGCACAGGGGCCAACATCATGGTGGAAACCCTGGAGGTGTCTGCCTCAGCTAGACAGGGGAGTGAAGGCGGCTAGAAAGGCCTCAGCCCAATATTTTAAATGGTCCAATGGGGACAGCAAGACCTAGGGGACATATGAGGAAACAGGTGACCCCATAGTACTCAGCCAATGAGGAACAGAGGAGGGACTAAATAAATAGGCTACGATTGCTACTCCATGTGTGCCTGTACAATGGGATGGACACTGGCTCTCAGCAGTTCTAGTTTTGGAAGCTGAAAAGTCCAAGATCAGGTTCTGACAGGTTTTGGTTTTTGGTGATGATTCTCTTCCTGGCTTGCAGATGACCACTTTATTTCTGTGCCTTCTAGTGGCCTTTCCTCTGTGTGCCTTTGCAGTCAATCGCCCCTTTTCTTGAAGGATATTGTTTGTTTGTGCATAGGTAACTCTATTGTCCCATCCTGTAGAATCCCAGAAGTCTTAACAGCCTTCTTGCATTCTGTCTCATTTTTTAAAAATTTAAAGTCTTTAAAAAAGTGGGAAAGAACAATCTGGTTGTTCTGTGGAGGGTGGATAAGAGGAGACTGAGGCTGGGATAGGGAACCAGAGAAGGTGATGACAGTGTTGAAGCATAGCAGGGGCAGGTGGGAGAGATACTGAGGAAGAGTGGAGGAAACTTATCCACAGCTTAAAATCTTTCCAGAGAGGAAAGCAGTGTTCTCACTGGGGTAGTACTGATAGGGGCAGAAATAGAATGTTGGGGAACCAGCTAGAATTGTAAGAAATATTAATCATACTCTTTTAACCATGATTGTTTTGTTCTGAGTAAAGAAGACACATTCTAACCTGGCTGGAAGTTGCAGGCGGGACTTGGGAGCTCACCTGGAAATGTGACCCATCCTCTACATCCAGGAGCTGCTAACAACCTTGTTGCTGAAACCAGAGCCTCTAGCCCTTTGCGTATCGGCAGCCCACATTATCTGTAAACTGTCCACTTGGCATACATACCCTTTTGGCTACTTCCCCATGTAGTCTTCATCCTTCTACCCAATATAAGCAGCTGGTTTATGGTGGGGGCAAAGCAGATTTTTGTGGATGACCTGTTGCTCTCCCATACTGTGGCATTATTGGAATAAACACTCATATACGATTCAACCCTGTCTCTGCTTAATTGGCTCAAGTAGTGACAGGCAGCCCAGACCCATTTGTTGTCCGGTTACAGTACTTCCCTTCCACTTCTGGGATTTTATTTCTGCTGTGCCCTCTCCCTCAGTCACACTTATTCCTTATCTTCAATATTACCTCCTCCTCAGATGTGCTTTCCCAAGGAAGCCTGCTCTGCCACTTCCCAGGTTTGCTGGGTTACCTCCTCTGGACCCAGAGCTAAATCTCTTTTTGGATTAGCAATGTGTGAAAACCCAATTCAAAGTAGTTTTCCCACTCCCAAATAAGAAACATCTTGGCGCTCACATTGTTTTAAAAAAACTGGTGCAGGTGAGGTGTGATTCAGCAGCTCAAACACTGGAAGGCACTTAGAATGAGAAAACCCTCTATAGTCTGACTGACAGGGTTTGAATCCTGACTCCACCACTCACAGGCAGATAAGTTTGGGCAAGTCTCTCAATCTCTCTGGATTCAGTTTTCTCATTTATGAGTTGGGGACAATAACAACACCTACTTTTCAGTATTGTTGTGGCATTTAAATGAGATGATATGCATAAGCTCTTTGAACAGTGCTTGAACACAGTGACTGTTAATAGCGATGGGCCATGATGATGATAATAGCAAAGTTGAGGACCCAGTTTCCTGTTTTTCCACTTTCTATTGTTCTCTTCTTGGCTCTTCCTAAGTTCTGGCAACCCCAGGCTCTTCCACTTGGTTGAGAACTGGTTTACCCTGTACCCTTCAAGGTGAGGGAGAAAGATGTGGTTTTAGAGGCTAACATGGAAGAGGAAGGCTGCTTCTCTTTAGTATAAACTTCTGGACCATTTAAGTTTCATTGGCTCAGGATGGTTCACATGCCTACTGTTGAACCAATCTCTGAGCCAGAATATGGTTCCCAAACCTTATAATGACTGCTATGCTGTACCTCCCCAGACTTATTTCTTACCTCCTTCCCCAGATCACACAAAGGGAGCTCTGTCCTTCCAGCTCCTAATACCATGAGACAATGGACTGAGAGCAAAAGGGTAAGGCTCTTTAGGGCCAAAGCTTAGTTGTAACAATTCCCCCTGCTTTACTGAGGTGTAACTGCCAAATGAAAATGGTAATATATTTAAAATGCATAACGTGGTGATTTGATATATGTATGCATTGTGAAATTATGAGCATAATCAAGTTAATTAACACATCCATCATCTCACATAGTTACTTTTTTTGTTACATAGTTACTTTTTATTTTGGTGAGAATGCTTAAGATCTACACTCTTAGCATATTTTAGTATACAGTACAGTATTGTTAATCATATTCACCATGTTATACATTAGAATCTCAAACCTTATTCATTTTATAACTGTAAGGTTATACATTTTTACCAGCTTGTCCCCATTACCCCCACCCTCTAGCCCCTGGAAACCATCATTCTACATTCTGTTTCTATGATTCCACATATCAGTGCTAACACACAGTATTTGTCTTTCTCTGACTTATTTCACTTAGTATATCACCCTTAAGATCCATCTATGTTGCCAAAAATGGCAGGATTTCATATTTCTCGTGGCTGAATCATATCCCTTTGTGTATATATTCCACATCTTTTACTCATTTATTTTTAAAATATATTTTTAAAATTGATTTCAGAGAGGAAGGGAGAGGGAGAGAGAGATAGAAACATCAATGATGAGAGAGAATCATTGATCGGCTGCCTCTTGCACGACCCACACTGGGGATCGAGCCCACAACCCAGGCATATGCTTTGATCAGAAATCGAACCATGACCTCCTGGTTCATAGGTTGATGCTCTACCACTGACACACACCGGCCCGGCTATCCATTTATTAATTGTCAGTCACTTACGTTTTTTCCCCCCATATCTTGGCTATTGTGAATAATGCTGTAATGATAACAGGCGTATAGATAACCTCTTTGAGACAGTGATTTTATTTCCTTTGGATATATGCCCAGAAGTGGGGTTGCTGGATCATATGGTACTACTATTTTTCATTTTTTGAGGAAACTTCCATACTGTTTTCCAAAGTGGCTGTACATCCCACCACAGTGCACAAGGGTTCACTTTTGGGCCAGTCTTTTTAAGATGCAAGTGCACATTCTTCACTCTCTTCTTGGGCTCTGAGCCCTTAGGAAATGGTGTAATTACTAAGTGGAAGGAGTCTGGATCCCTGCTTTTATATGTGGATCACCAGAAATGTCCACATTGGTAGGTTCTGTGAGTGAGAAATAAACTATTTTGAGAGCTACTGATTTGAAGATTTTTAAAAATATATTTTTATTTTTATTGATTTCAGAGAGGAAGAGAGAGAGGGAGAGAGAGATAGAAACATCAATGATGAGAGAGAATCATTGATCAGCTGCCTCCTGCACGCCCTCTACTAGGGATCAAGCCCACAACCTGGGCATGTGCCTTTGACTGGAATCAAACTCGGGACAATCCTGTCCACAGGCTGACGCTCTATCCACTGAGACAAACCAGCTAGGGCTGATTTCAAGTTTGTGATAGCTGCTAGCAAGACCCTAAACAACAAACTTTATAGATTTCATTGCTCCCTCCCAGTGCATCTTAAACTATTTGTGGTTGTGGTGTAGGACTCACTTTTTTAATATCTCCAATATTTCAGGGACTGATCCTTTGGTCTATACCAGTGATGGCGAACCTATGACACGCGTGTCAGAGGTGACACACAAACTCATTTTTTTGGTTGATTTTTCTTTGTTAGATGGCATTTAAATATATAAAATAAATATCAAAAATATAAATCTTTGTTTTACTATGGTTGCAAATATCAAAAAATTTCTGAGAGAAACCAAGATGGCGGCATAGGTAAACACCGGAGTTTGCTGCCTTGAACAACCACTTGAAAAATACAACTAAAAGACGGAACGGACATCATCCAGAACCACAGGAAGGCTGGCTGAGTGGAAATTCTACAACTAGAAGGAAAGAGAAAAGCATACCGAGACTCAGAGGAGCTGCAGTGCAGAAGTAAAACACAGAGGTACAGAGGTGCATGCGGAGAGGGCTGGCGACTGAGGGCGCGGTTGTCGTTTTCAATCAGGAGGGAGTCTCAGGCTCTGAGCTCCAGTTCTGGGCGAGTCTCTAGGGACTCAGACTCATACGGGAGAATCAGGACTGTCTGGCATCGGTCGGAACTTGAGGGCAGCTTTCTCTCTGAGGGGCTTGCAGCGGATTACCGGGACACTGAGAAGCAGAGCCTCTGAGGGCAAGACTGAGAGCAGCCATAACTGCTAGCCCCGCCCTGTTGATCCCTGGGACCCGCCCCGCCCAAGCCCTGCAGGGAGGCTTTTGCTGGATAGCCTCAGGCAGAGGCTAGATTAGCACCTCCCTAGAGATCCAGGAGCCAGGAAACTCAGAGGTCAGAGTGGGACCATTCAGTTTGCAGCTCCGTGGAACCATAAAGGACACACTCAGGAGGCAGACTCAGTGAGCACCAAAGCCCCATTGAAGCAAGTCTTGCCCCAGAGGGGTGTCTCCAGCACAGAAGTTCTCCCACTGCAGACACAGCTGATTCTCACAGCCAATTGGCCTGGAGGTCAAATCCTCCCAGTGATACCTACAACAATCAAGGCTTAACTACAACAAGACTGTGCACAAAGACCACAAGGGGGTGCACCAAGAGTGTTCTCCTCAGGTAATTGGGGAGGCTGAACCACTGGGCTCTAGAGGACACTTAGCACAGAAAACCACTCTATCAACACAGGGAAGTATAAAAAATGTGGAGACAAAGAAAAAGGACACAAATGACAGAAATGGAGGAAAGCAAACTACTGGATATAGAGTTCAAAACCACACTTTTAAGGTTTTTCAAGAATTTTTTATAAACTGCTGATAAACTTAATGAGATGTACAAGAAATCCAATGAGACCCTCGAGGTTGTGATAAAGGACCAACTAGAAATTAAGCATACACTGACTGAAATAAAGAATATTATACAGACTCCCAACAGCAGACTAGAGGATTGCAAGAATCAAGTCAAAGATTTGAAATACGAAGAAGCTAAAAACACCCAACCGGAAAAGCAAAATGAAAAAAGAATCCAAAAATACGAAGATAGTGTAAGGAGCCTCTGGGACAACTTCAAGCGTACCAACATCAGAATTATAGGGGTGCCAGAAGAAGAGAGAGAGCAAGATATTGAAAACCTATTTGAAGAAATAATGACAGAAAACTTCCCCTACCTGGTGAAAGAAATAGACTTACAAGTCCAGGAAGTGCAGAGAACCCCAAACAAAAGGAATCCAAAGAGGACCACACCAAGACACATCATAATTAAAATGCCAAGAGCAAAAGACAAAGAGAGAATCTTAAAAGCAACAAGAGAAAGACAGTCAGTTACCTACCAGGGAGTACCCATAGGAATGTCAGCTGATTTCTCCACAGAAACTTTGCAGGCCAGAAGGGAGTGGCAAGAAATATTCAAAGTGATGAATGCCAACAACCTACAACCAAGATTACTTTACCCAGCAAAGCTATCATTCAGAATTGAAGGTCAGATAAAGAGCTTCACAGATAAGAAAAAGCTAAAGGAGTTCATCACCACCAAACCAGTATTATATGAAATGCTGAAAAGTATCCTTTAAGAAGAGGAAGAAGAAAAGGGTAAAGATACAAATTATGAACAACAAATACACATCTATCAACAAGTGAATCTGAAAATCAAGTGAATAATCTGATGAACAGAATGAACTGGTGATTATAATAGAACCAGGGGCACAGAAAGGG